ACCTCCAGAGACTAGACTCTTAACTGCCATGCTTTTCAGCAGCCATGCAGCCATACGCAGGAAAATCTGGAAGGATGCACAGCAAATTGTTCTCAGTGAGCACATCCCAGAAGTGGGATTAGCTGTATTTCTTACATTTCTCTATATGTCTCTGTACTGTTTCAATTTTTAAAAACTGCCATTTGCTAATTTTGTAATTGTAAAGCAAAACCAACAAAACCATTACCAACATAAAAACTCTGCCAACAGACACGATCATTTGAGGAGTATCAACTGCACAGCACACCCAGGCCTTGTGCTGCTCTCCTTGTCTCAAGAGGTGTAGGCATGGAATAGGTGACATGGAAAAAAGGGGTCTGTGCCTCAGGAAGCTGGGGAAACACGGGATTAGACGAAATGAATCAGGTTTCTTCTCTGCAGAGACTTTCAGAGCTTTAACAAGCTAACGTTGATCATGAGGCTAAGATAGGCCAGAGTTTGTAGCTGAGACTGTGGTGATTTGGCCCCAGAGTCCTTTTTTTCCAGGTGCCTCATGGAACTAGTGTTCTTTATTTAGCACAAACATTGGAAATACAATTCCAGATACTTTAAAATCAACCCTGAAGTTGGTTGTTAGAGGCCACATTCCTGGATGGAATCTTGGTCCTGCCTTCCCCCATCTCCTCCAACCCCCCGCCTCAGAATTGCTTTCGCTGAGTTGAACTTGGCCTTGAAGCCATCGGCTTGTGGGTGTGTACATGGAATTGTAGGATCCAGTCTGTGTTGTACATGTAGTCCCGGCCCCTGCCTCTGAACTCTGAACGTATCTGCACGTGTACATTTTCCTGTGATGATAGGTTCGGCGTTTGGGATGTGGTGTGTGTGTTTGTCAGGGGAGTGTGTGAGGGAGCCTCTTCTAAAGTAGACCCCATGGCTGAGCTCAGAATCCATCCTGCCTGAGTTCTCACACCCACTATATACAGGAAGCAAAGTCATTTGCAAAGCCACACCACAAGTGTGAGGGGAATGGGTGGTTTGCTGGCCTGCCAAAACGCTGAGTGGGTGTCATTCTGGGTGTGGACAGACCTCCCTTTGGTACATCATTTGCAGGAGGAGGGAGTGCCTAACCTCCCTTGAGCACCTACTATGTGTCAGGTACTATCCAGGGAATGTAATAGTCATTATTTCCTTGATTGCCCACAAGCACTCTGTAAAGGAGGGATTTCTTATTGCCTCTTTACAGATAAGTAAACTGAAGTTGGGAGAGGTGAAGCCACTCGCTCAAGGAAGTGGCAGAACCAGAATTGCGCCTGGGTCTGCCTGACTCTGAAATGCATGTTCTTTGCACTATACCAAATCCCTGGGCTCTCTTGCCTTGGACGTTGCTCTGAGGTCTCTGCCTTCACAGTACCCAAGGACAGAATCCAGGGATAATGACCTTGGCCTCGTGTCCTACGCACTATCCAAAATGGGCCTTTGTCCTTCTCAGAACTGCCTTGACTCTTCCAGGAAGCTTTCCAGAATCCCCCCAGAAGAGCCTTCTCCTCTCCTCTGAACTTGGCCTGTTTTCCACCCTTTCTCCCTTTGAGAAAAGCCTCTGCTCCTGGGTGCCCAGGCGCGGGACCCTGTCTGCTTCGTCCGTCAGTACAGGGCTGGGTGGAGGGAACTGCTCCACCTGTTCAGGGGTGGAGGAGCTGCCCTTGGAGCACGAGGAGAGCCGGGTGGTCCCCAGCCCCCACAGAAGCCACAGGCCTTGGAGCTGGAGACAAGAGCAAGGCTGCGATATGCTGACTAGGCAGAAAGAGTGTGTCACGAAAAACTCCAATGAAGCAGGGGGAACCTGGAAAGTCTGGCTGGGGTGGAGACTCCCCCCAAAAACTGAGCCTCAGAAGTAAAGAGGGAGGGAGTGAGCATATCGCTGACCGTGCCTTCCTGGGCCTCCTCCCTGGGGTTTAAAGCAGCAGAGCTGAAGCAGGAGGCAGCAAGGGCAGAGGGGAGGACATCCTGCTGTGACACTTGGCAGGGACAGGAATGGCAACTTTCCAGGTGGAAGTTCAGCAGTTCCTTGTCCAGGGACAACTGCACCCTTGTCCGGGATAAAAATAGCGCTTCCTCTTCCCTTCCTTTGTCACTGTCTTTCACCTCCAACTTCCCAGAGTCAGATCAGATATATCTGTCCGCCCTGGAGACTCCCTCCCAGATGATAAACACTCCTTACACGTCCATCTGCCATCGGGGGGCTCCTCCCTCTCTGAGGCATTGCTGGTCACCGAGGCCATCTGAATGCTCTGGGTGACTCCTGTCTTTCTCTCTCAGGAAATTCTTGTCACTGGGGTCTGCCCCCGGAACCAGAAGATTCCTGGGTCCCCTGACTCGAGTCTGTCCCTCACCCTTCTCCATGGGGCGCTGAGGGGATCACAGCCTCGGCCGTCACTCCCTCCCAGGGCCTGGCTCTGCCACTGCCTTGCTGAGAGGCTGAGCAGTGAGTGCTGGGCCCCCTCTGGGCCTCAGGAGCCTCATTCTCATGGGACAAGGGACTGCCTTGGTGATTTCTGAAGGTCTTTTCAATATCTTACAACCCATGTGCCAGATCTCCCAGAAGCATGCTCCCAGTGAGTGGGGGCTATTGGCAGACAGTGTAGCAGAGAGAGACAAGAGCCACCACTTTGCAGGAAAGAGGTGACCCAGCTGCACTGCGTGCTTCCCCCCTGACCTCCAGCAAAGATTTTCTGTCTCCCAGCCTGAAGGGCTGCTGCGTCCCCAGGGAGCCTGGCCCCACTCACAGCCACAGCCCTCAGCTGCCAGGCTCCCCACCACGGCCCCTAGGCCCCTGCATCCAGCACTCCTTACCTGCCCAGCCCGGGAGCCTCCGGCCCCATTCACATGGTCCTCCTGGCCTAACCTGGCTGCCCGGACACCTTCAGCTCCCCTCGCCGTCTTAGCCACCGCCTGTCTCCCCGCGCCCACGTCCCACCCTGACTTCCTGCCTCCTCCCGAGGGCTCCGCAGCCAACCGGGCCCCAGCAGCCCAACCACAAGCCTTCAGCACCCCAAGCTTCCTGCCACTATAGCCCCCCACCCCTCAGCCCCTGAGGGTCCCCTACATCTCCAGACCAGGCCCTACTCACCCTGAGGGTGGCACTTGGAGCCTTAAAATTGAGGGAGGGTGTTTGATGGACCCTCCCTTCTGGCCTCCAGGGTGCACCTGGCCTAGAGATTCAAGGGCAGCCTTCTGCCCCAGCAAGCAGGGGCAAGCAGAGACACACTCCGCTTACAGTGAAAGGCAAGTAGCACCACTGTTAGAGCCTGAGAGCTGAGTGACCCTTTTGTTTCAGTCTGACAGCAAAGGTAGCATCGCTCGGACTCAGAGAACAGGACAATATCCGTGTTAAAATGTTGGAGAGCAGACCACACGTTCCAGCCAGATGTCAGGCTAAATCAGCTGCTACCGTCGGCCAACAGAACAATACCCATGTCATCTCAGGGCACAGGACAATAGCTTTATTATAGTCAAGGGCAGGCTACGGGTAGGCTGACAGCCCCCTTACGGACAGAATGCTGGACAGCAGCCTGTTTCAGGAGGCAGGCAGCCCCCTGTCTTCAAGAGGGCATAGTAACAGCTCCTGCTATCCACAGAGAACAGGACAATACCCACTAATCATGGTTGGAGAGTACAACAAATTAGGGCGCACTTCTAATTTAGGTAGAGGCAAGGCCACAGCCCCTGGTGGAGGTGCAGGTCTTGGTACCGTCTCCTGCAGCAGGTGGGAGAGCTGGGCCCAGACACCCAGGTGCAGCCAGCAGACTGATGGGACTTTCTGTTATTGGCAGGAGGCAAGAACGTCGTCACAAGCAGCAGGCTGGCCGAGAATTTCCATTTCGCCTGGGGCCAGGCTGAGGGTGGCACCCATCACAGGCTCGGGGCCAGGTCGCCAGTGATATGAAGAACTCCAAGTGGCCTATATTAGGCCCAAGAACTGGGCCTTGACCCAACCTGGAGGAAAGTGTAAATGCGTCACTGCCTGAGCTAGCCGGTGGGGGGAGGGAACCCACAGAGCATTGTTGGGGTTTGTGAGGTGGAAGCCGGTGCTGTGTGCACCTCAGCTGCGGAGGAAGGCGGGGCAGGAAATGGGTGGGGGGAAGAGGAAGCCTGAGTTGGAAAGTCAGACAAAGAGGGTAACACAGAAACAAAGGCTGAGAGAAACAAACTAAAAACCTACAGAGTGACACAGATCCCAGGGTTGGGGCTGCAGGGCCAGCTGTCCTTGCACTGTAAACCTCAACACCTCGCAGTCCATTTCCGGGCTTCTCACGAGAGTAATAAAATTGCTGGTGACAGTAGTAAGTGCTTACTGTACACTATCTCACTTAAGGCGTGTCCAGCTGCCTGTGGAGTGAGAATCAGCATCTCCACTGCAGACGTGAGGAAACAGATTCAGGGGCTCAGGGACCTCCTCAAGATCCAATAGAAATAAATGGGAGCACTGGCTTTGAACCCAGGTCTGCCAGGTTCTGCATTCTATAGCAGCCCGATTTACCTAAGTCACCTCCCATGGGGATGACTTAGGTCTCTCTCTGTTGCCTGGGCTAGAGTGCAGTGGTGTTATCATAGTTCACAGCAACCTCAAACTCCTGGGCTCAGCAATCCTCCTGCCTCAGCCTCCCGAGTAGCTGGGACTACATGTGCGCACCCCCTCGCCTGGCTAAGTTTTTTTTTTTTTCGTAGAGATGGGGTGGTGCTGTGTTGCCCAGGCTGGTCTCCAACTCCTGGCCTCAAGCGATCCTTCTACCTTGGCCTACCAAAGTGCTAGGATTATGGGCGTGTACCATGGCTCCCAGCCCTGACTCTGGTCTTGGTAAGACAGAGAGATGGGGCCGGATCTGTGGAGGAGGTGGGGATCCATCACTTGGCCATCTCCACCCCCAACATGGGCCATCTTTCCTGCAGTGGACCAATGTGGTCCCAGCGACAGAAGACAGACAGCGGCCTTGGGCCTGAATAAAGGACTGCAGAGACGTTGGTGGGAAGCACAAAGGGCGTTTATTGAGGAGCTTGGGGGTCTGAGTTCCTTCCCTTGCCCCTGGCTAGCTAGGGCAGCAGGGGTGACAGGATGGTTGGGCTTTGCACACTTGGGACTCATTTCTCAGAGACCTGAGTGTTCCCCACTTGCCCACCAGGTGCTGGCGCCTCTGGGGCACCCCTCTCTCCCTCTTCCCAGGCAGGCTGGGGAAGCGGCAACAGGTGTCCCCGGAGAGCAGAGCAGGTGTCCCTCAGCAGAGGGTGAAGCGCCGGGCGCTGATGTTCATGCGCGTGAGGCCCAGGTGACGCAGCGGCGGAGCCAGGGTCAGACCGGCCCCAGGCTCCAGCTCCAGCTCCAGCTCCGCCTCATCCAGCAGCTCCTGGTGCAGGTGACAGGCTTGGTCCATCTTCAGCCGGTGCAGCTGGGCCCGCAGCCGCAGCAGCTGCCCCGCCAGCTGCCGGTCCTGAGCTTGCATCTCCCGCTGCGGCCGAGAGGGGGCGTGAGCCTGCTGGGCTGGCCCTCAGCCTCGCTCCCTTCCTCCCTTCCTCCCTTCCGGTCAGCAAGGGCCTTTGCACCGGCTGTGCCCTCCCCAGTCCCCTCTCACCTCGGCTTGATGCCTCCCCATCTCTCAGACCTTGCTTCACACTGGTAGTTCTCAAACCGAGCTAAGGAGCCATTGCGAAGCAAATACAGATCAACTAAGCAGAATCTCCACGTTGGAGCCTGGACATCTTTATATTTGCACATGTTGGGTTGACAGCCACCTAGTCAGCCCTCACCTCTTCAGATTCTGCCCACAGCATGGTCAGTGCCTCCTTCTGTACTTTACTGTATCTTTGGGGTATAGCAATTCCCAGAGTAGGGCAGGCCATGTCTTTTCCCACCGATAATGGTGGCCCCCCAAGGGCAGGGCTCTGCCTCCTGGGCCATAGGAGCACTAGGTCAGTAGATAGGATGGCATCCTTCTATAGCAAGCCTCCCGAACGAAACATTGGACGCGTCTATTCCTGGCTCCTCAGCGCCAGGACACAGGAGTGGGCACTTGCTGGAGGTGGAGTCCATTCTTATCCCCTCCCCACACCCGTGATCTTGGGCCCTAAAGACGACTGGCCTGAAGGCCCTGTGCAAGGCTGCCCACCCCACCAGACTCACCAGCTCCTGTCGGAGCCACTCAAGAGCGGAGTCCATCGAGTCGAAGCCACAGATGGCCCCAGGTCCTCCTGGCCCAGGTTTGGCTTGGGCCCTGCGCCAGGCCTGGCTCTGGACCTGGGCTGTCCACTCCAGATAGGAGGGCCGCCGAGTCTGCAGCTGCAGCTTGGCCGTCAGTGCCTTCACGGAGTCCAGGCTCTCCTGCTCCTCGTCCTCATCTTCTTCACCCATTGCCTGGAATTTCAGTGGCCCCAGGGACATGGTAGGTTTGAGGTAAGTGACAGGGCAGGGCTGCCACTCTGGGATTAGGGAAAAGCTGGCAATATTTCCCAGGGACAAATGGCAGAAGCTGGCCATGAGCGGTGTCTCACGCCTGTAATCCTAGCACTCTGGGAAGCTGAAGTGGGAGGATCGCTGAGGTCAGGAGTTCGAGAACAGCCTGAGCTAGAGTGAGACCCCCGTCTATACAAAAAAATAGAAAAATTAGCCGAGTGTGGTGGCGTGCACCTGTAGTCCCCCAGCTACTCTCAGGAGGCTGAGGCAGGAGGATCCCCTTGAACCCAGGAATTTGAGGTTGCAGTGAGCTATGATAATGCCACTGCGCTCTAGCCCGAGAGACCAAGCAAGACTCTTTCTCAAAAAAAAAACAAAAAACAAGAAAGCAGCAGAAGCTTGAGGGTGAAAAGAGCGTGCGATGGTGAATGTTCAAGGTGGGTTAGGGAGGCTGAGTGTGCCAGGGTGAGTGAGCAGATGGCTGTGTGAGGCCAAGTGTCCAAGGGCTGGAATTTTCCTGGACTGCTAACCCAGTAGCCACGTGATGCCCATCCGGGTGGGGGCAGGAGGAGCCCTGCTCCTCTGGCCCCTAGGATGAATTTTATTGTCTTTGCCCAGAAGGAGACACCCAGTTCCCAGAAAGGAAGTTGCTCCAGGATGAGAAAAGCATCACTCACACCGGAGTCTTGGCTTTCCTCCCAAGATCCAAGTTAAAGTAGTTGAGAGGTAGGAGGAGGTTGACTAGTTGCTCCCTGTCCTTACTCAGGACACCAGCCCTTTAGCAAAGGAATAGCGTGCAGGGCCCTGGCCTGGGAGTCAGGAGACCTGGGTTCTAGTGCTGGCTCTGTGGAACCTTGGGCAAGTCACTGACCTTCTCTGAGCTCTGCTGGGACAGATCAAGGACTTCGGGCTATACTGTAAGGAACCATAGGTTCCCTTGGAAATCCTTCAAAGGGCTGCCTGCAGGTGGGGAAGGGCAAAGCCGTGGATGGTTCCAGTCCTCCCTCTCTCTGCCCCACCAGGCTTCAACCAGAGCTGTTCCTTTTTTTAAACTTTGTGTTGCAATATAACATACACACAGAAAAATGCACATATCATAAATGCACGGCTTGACGAATTCTCCTAAACTGAACACACCCATGTAACCAGCACCCAGATCAAGCAACAGTATTCCCAGGACTCAGGAAGCCTCCTGTGTGCTCCTTGCCTGTCACTGCTTTCATAAGGGTAACACTACCCTCGTTTCTGACAGCATACATTAGCTTTGCCTGTTTGTATACTCTCCAGTGGTTCTCAAACGTTAGCATGCTTCAGAATCACCTGGAAAGCTTGCTAAGATCAGAGTTTTGATTCAGGCTGTATGGGATGGGGCCTGATAATTTGCATTTCTACCAAATTCTCATCCCAGCTGCTGCTGGTCTGGAATTTTACAATTTGTACTCTTTCGTGTGTGATTTCTTTCACAGAGCAGTTCCAATTTCATGTTTATATTATGGGGACCCACCTATGATTTTATTTTTTTTCACTTGAAAGTCTGGAACCTAGTGGACCAGAAGGCCCTTTGAAGGGAAGAGTTGTTCTTCCTCTTCTCAGTAACCAGCACCCAGCAGAGTGCAGGCACCAGCGTTTAAGAAATGAAAAAATAATTAGGAGAATGGATGAATGGATGAGTCCTCCAGTAAATCAGTTTAGCCTCCTACTGTAATTTTACCAGCGTAAGTGTGTCTCTTGCCAGACTGAAAACCCTGTGAATAGAACTTCCTGTCACCCCTGGGTCCCAACACCACACACAGCTCACAGTATGGGCAATGCATGCTTGGTGAAAGGATGTCGTGACAGAGGATGGGGTCTTTGAGGGCAGGACTCAGTAAGAAGTGACCCGCAAAGAGGGCGCCCACAGGCAGGGACTTCCAGCTGTGGAGGGGGAGGGGCATTTAAGGTGGACCAAGTGATTTCCTCCACTACCCTTTACATACCAGGAGGAAGCAGGAAGTTCCCAATTTCGCCCCTACACTTTCCAGCCCTTCCACCAGAGTACAGCGGAAGAGATGGTTATTTTTCTTTGTTTTTTTGAGTTAGCGGTAATGCTAGCACTCAGGGCTTAAAAAAACAAAAATATTGAGTGTCTCCTGTGCCCTAGGCACGGGGTTAAGGGCTTTGGGCAAGATTATTCTCCCCATTTTACAGATGATGAAATCGAGGTTTCCTTATAACAGGCTCTGACCAAGGACCTCGCTAAGAGATACTGGCAGTGTGAGGGGAGGATTCCGGTGAAACTCTGAGATTCCTTCCTCTGAGGGGCCTCCTTAACAGCTGTCCTGCGGGTGTCGCCAGCTGCTCAGCCAGTTCCTGTCCTTTTTGGAGACCGCGCGTGCCCCGCCCGACGCTCCCGGAGTCTGCCCTGCTGGGCCCCAAGTCCCCTACTGGCAGAATGGAGTTCTCAGAGCTGATCCGTACAGGCCGGGCCCAAGCACAGCTCCTGCGGGGCCCGGAGGCGCCCCCGCTGCGCGGCACGCTGTGCGTCACCGGCCACCACCTGCTGCTGTCTCCAGGGCCCCAGTCGACTCCAGACCTGTGGCTGCTGCTGTTGCGTAGTGTCGACTCTATCGAGAAGAGGTTAGACGTGGCGGGGGCGTCCCCGGAGTAGGGGAGCTCGCGGCTCGGCGGGAAGAGGGGGAAGGGCAAGCGCAGCTGGAGCGGGCGCTTTCCTGCATAGAGTCCTGTCCTATGAAACTCGTTTCCCTTCCCCCGATGGGGGGCGGGGGACACTGAGCCTGGGCCCGTCCATCCCCAGAGTTGCGGGTGACTCGGGCACCATCACGCTGCGCTGTAAGGACCTGCGGGTGCTGCAGCTGGAAATAGAGGGCGTGGAAGCGACGCTGGACATCGCCCGCTCCATCGAGGTATGCTGAGAGCACACCTGAAGCCCTTAAGCTATGCCTGTCCCTTATACAGGGAAGTATAATAAAAAGGCGCTACTGTGCAAAGGAGCACTGCATCCAGTCTGTCTCAGGGCACGGGCAAATGGCAGGGGGCTGCAGGGTGGTCTGAGATACGTGGACAGGCTGCGAAGCGGAGGGGCTGGAAAGGGCGCGGGTGACGATTCCGATCATCCCCAGAGCCCCTGACTTCCTTCCCCAGGCGCTGTCCTCCCTGGAATCGGTCATCACGTCCTTTCCGTTCTTCTACCGTCCCAAGGGCCTGAGACTGGGCGACTCCTGGCACTTCCTCCCGCCCGAACGCTACTACAAGCGGGTAGCTCGCGAGGTGGGCACGGTCGTGGGGGCCTGGGGATGTGGAAACGCCGGGCCTGGAAGGGGCGCGGGGACAGGGCACTCGCTGGGTCCCCTAAACCTGGCCTTCGCCCCTCCCTGCGCCGCAGACCGACGCGTGGCGGCTGAGCGAGGTGAACGAGGACTTCGGCTTGTGCCCCAGTTACCCCCGTGCCGTGATCGTGCCTCGCGCGGTGGACGACGATGTCCTGGCGCGCAGCGCCCGCTTCCGCCAGGGAGGCCGCTTCCCTGTGCTCAGCTACAGCCACGCTCCCAGTGGAACCGTGAGCCCCGCCCCTCCCAGGCTCCGCCCCTGGGACCCTCGGCGTCCTTCCTCGGCCGGTTCGCAGCGTTCGCAGCCTGGCTGCTTCCCTATCCCGGCCCCGCCCCCTCCGCTCAATCCAGCTTTCGCCCACTGTGGCCCGGCTGTCGGCGTCCCTGGGCTACTTGAAGTTTAGTTCCTTCTTTGTCAACCCAGGACTTACCCACCGGCTATTCACAGGGTCCCTCCCCACTCTGGCCACAGCACACACTGACCGGTCCAAATCCTGGAGAGTTCCACCCCTACGGCCCCTGTGCTCCAGCTCGCCCCGCCCCTGCCAGCTCTAGTCTGGCGCCTGTGTGTAGACCTGGCCCATGGGCTCCCCAGGCAGGGTGGGCACACTTCAGGAGCTGAGTCCCTGTCCGCAGGTTCTGTTACGCTCCAGCCAGCCTCTGACCGGTCCCCAAAAGCGGCGCTGTGCTGAAGACGAGGAGCTGCTGCGAGCGGTGCTGGCGGGGGCTCGCCCTGGGGCCCGGGGCTTTATCCTGGACACACGCTCCGCCCAGGCCGCAAAACAGGCCCGTATGACTGGCGGTGGCACGGAGGCCAAGGCCGCTTACCCTGGCTGGAAACGGCTGCACCGGCCCCTGGAGAGGTAAGGGGCCTCCCATCCTCCCCATGCTCCTTCCTGCAGGACTCTATGAATGTGTCTGTGTGTGTGTGGGGGAGAGGTCTTCCAGGAGCCTTGAAGATTGCTAGGCCTTTCCTGTTGGCCATCCCTCCAGGTGGGCATGCCCACTGGCACACCCCACCGAGACCTCATTACTCTCCAGGCACCCCACCGAGACCTTACTTTCCAGGCACCCCAACTAGACCTCATTACTCTCCAGGCACCCCAACTTTGCCTGCAAAGAAAAGGCTCCTCTTTACATTAAACTGAAATTTGTCTTCCTGGAACAACACACACACACACACACACACACACCCTCACACACCTGGAACAACACACACACACACACACCCTCCCTCCCTCCCTCCTTCCCTGAGGGCTGTGCCTGCACAGATGGATCTGTTTCCTCTGTCTCCAGGTGATGGTAGTGCCAAGAGGAGGTCCTGAAGGAGTTTTTGTGCTTTGGGGAGGGTTAGACTGCTTCCCTATCCAAAATACAAAACTGTTTATTCATTTATTCATCCTGCATTGAGCACAGGGGCTGCCATGGTGACCAGCCCAGACATGACAGAGATCAGCAGTAAATGGGCAATCAGAGCCCACTGAGATAAGTAGCAGCACAGAGGAGGTGCCCCTCTCTTAGTAAGGTGACTTTAGGTAATCCAAATGTTCTCCTGAGACTAGGATGCTTTAGCTGAGACCTGAAAGCGGGGGAGTTAGCCAGAAGGAGGAAGGACACTCCAGATGAAGGGAACTGCAGGTATATATTATAGGTGCAGAGAGTGCCTGGTTATTTGTCCTGTTTGGGGAACTGCAAGTTCGGTAGTTCCCGCTTTATCCTCAGGGAACATGCTTTGAGACCCCCAGTGGATGCCTGAAACCTCAGAGAGTACCAAACTCTATATATACTATGCTCTTCCTATACATACATACCTATGGTAAAGGTTAATTTATAAATGAGGCACATTAAGAGATTAACAATAATAAAATATAACAATTACTGTACTAAAAGTTTTGTGAATGTAATTTCTCTCTCAAAATATTGCATTGTACTGTATTCACCCTTCCTCTTATGATGACGTGATAAGATAAGATAAAATGCCTATGTGATGAGATGAAGTAAGGTGAATGCCATAGGCATTGTGATGTAGAGTTAGGCTACTGCTAAGTGACTAACAGGCAGGTGGTGCATACAGCGTGGATATGTTGGACAAAGGGATAATTCACGTCCTGAGTAGGACAGAGCACGGTGGCTCAAGATTTCATCATGCTACTCAGAACAGCACACAATTTATCTTATGAAGTGTTTATTTTGGGAATTTTCCATTTAATATTTTCAGACCACAGTTGACCATGGGTAACTGAAACCTCAGAAAGTGAAACCATGGGTTCGGAGGACTCCTGTACTTCAGTACGATGGGAGCACAGTATGAAGTGGGAGTAGAGAGAGATGAAGCTAGAAGGATGAGGGGCCAGAGCGAAGGTCTTGAGAACGGTGGTTATGAGCTTAGACTTTATCCTAAAGGCAGTGGGGAGTCACCAAAGGCTTTTAAACAGCACTGAAAAGTCTGCATTAGATTTTCTGCAGGAGGTCACAAGTGACCTTGGGCAGAGCGGATTCTGGAAGGTAGGAGCAGATGCTGAAGTCCAAGAGCATTGCGTTTCTCTTGTCAGACAAGGGCTCCCCAGGGAGCACTATGTTGCTCTCATCAGATTGGGTCATGCAAGGATATTGTGACACTTACATCAAATTGGGGGCTTCCCAGGGCATTCTGTGTTTCCCCAGAGGGCTATGTAACCCCTCCCCAGGTAATGCTCAACAGGCTAGGTCTCCCCAAACGGTCTTGGGTCTCTCCTAGACTGGGGAATCCTCAAAGATACAGAATCATTTCCATCAGTTTAGGAGCTCTTTGGTGGGCTTGATGTTCCATGAGACTGGGCTCCCCAAAGAGTCCTGTGTCCCTCTTATCAGATGCGCTCCTCAGAGGGTTCTATCTCTCATTGGTCTGGAGCACTTGCTCCCAGACTGTGCTCACTAAGACCGTGGGCTGGGGGAAGGATGACCAGACTCCCACTTGTCCAGGGGGCGGCCCCTACAAGAGAGCTTCGTGCGCCTGGTGGAGGCCTGTGGGGATCCGGAGCAGAGCATGGACCGCTGGCTGAGTCGGCTAGAGGGCTGCCGCTGGCTGGCACACGTGAAGGAAGCACTGAGCACTGCCTGCCTGGCAGCCCAGGCCATGGAGAGGTAAGGCCCCTACCCTGTGAGACAGAGAATGGTGGGGGACAGGCAGGGCCCTCAACCCCTGGACACAAAACGGTGACTCAGTACAGCCTAGAACTGCGCCCATTCTATTCCTGGCCTGGTCACCCTGGGCAGGGGACTTGGCCACTGTTGATGAGCCCTGGGCCCACAGGGAAGGGGCCTGCATCCTGGTGCATGGGGCTGAAGGCACGGACAGCACCTTACTCGTGACTTCACTGGCCCAACTCATCCTGGACCCCATGAGCCGGACCATAGCTGGATTCCAGGAACTGATAGAGCGCGAGTGGATCCAGGTAAGTGACCACCCAACCCCAGCCCTACCCCACCATCCAGAAACCCTGCTTCCTTGTGCCCATCGCTCTGCCCCCTCCCCAGGCCGGCCACCCCTTCCAGCTGCGCTGTGCCCACTCGGCCTTCTCCCAGGCCCGCCCCAAGCACGAGGCACCCACCTTTCTCCTCTTCCTGGACTGCGTGTGGCAGCTGGGCCGCCAGTTCCCGCTGTCACTGGAGTTTGGGGAGGGGCTGCTGTTGGCGCTGTTTGAGCACGCCTATGCCTCCCCCTTTGGCACCTTCCTCTGCAACAGCGAAAAGGAGAGGTGAGCTGAGGTGCGGTGGGGCAGGGGCAGGCACAGGAAAGGGTCAATTAGCTGCCGCATCAGCACCTTACTTCTTAGGAGCCATCTTTCCTCTCCAAGTAAATTCTCTTTTAGAAAACTCTTGCGAGTCTTCCTCTCCCCTCCTTCTAAATCTCATACTTCCTCCTAACTTCTGCAAACCCAGAGATAGATGGGTCCAAGCCCAATCCTTTAGGCCTCCCACTCTGTCCATAGCCAAGAGCAAGTATACCCCACCTCGAAAACAAGGACTGAAGGGGAAAGTTGCTGCAAAAGTAAATTATTTCTGGGGCTCTCTACCACTTTGGTTGATTCTCGTGAAGCAATAGAATCGAGGTTGAAAGCAGAGTCAGATTGTTTGATCTCAAACCACCACTCACCTCCTGGGTAACCATGGCAAACCTATGCGAGCCTTGGTCTCCTCATCAGCAGCATGGCGGGGAGCATAGTCACCATAATCTATAGGGGGTTGGGAGGAATAACTGAGCTAAAGCATAGAAGTGTCTAGCACCGTGCTTGACGCACAGTAGGCACACAAGAAGCGGTAGTTGCTTTTATTTGGCTGGCTTATTGCACATGCTCCCAGGCAGCCCCATAAACCGTCTTTGTCTCATCAGACTGAGACGGGGGCAAGAAGGGTTCCCTCTTCTCCAACAGTATTTAGCCATCTTCTTTGGCCCAGTTCTCCCTGACACCGCATCTTGTTGACTAACTCCGTTAGTCCTGGGACATCCAGGTTAGAAAACTGTCATCTATAGATATTTCCCTCCTTTTCCCCATCTTCATCTTTAGGTTTCTTTTAAAAAGGTCTGAGCTTGGTCCTCTCCTGCCAGAGGCCCCTCCTCCAACCTGCACCCAGACTGTTTCTTTCCATCTGGACCCTGCGGCGGCCTCCTCGCTGCCCTCCACATCTCCACTTTCATCATTTTAAGAAAACTCATCGGTCCAGACCTATCAATATTCACACTGGGCCCTTTCCCACTTTGCTTTCACTCATGTAGCTCCCCCCGCCACGTGTCGCCATTTTGTACACCCAGGATGCCAGGTCTGATACACCCAGCTCAAATATCAAATTCTTAGTTAGCCTGCCCTGACACTTATGCAAAGCTAAATTGTTTCTCCCTCTGAATGGAATGCCTTATGAAGTAAGATTGTGTCTGACTCCTCTTTAATTCTAGTGCCCGAGACAAGATCTGACTGGCAACAGTGTTTGCCTCAGAGTGGCTGTCACCCTACTAACCAGGGCCACCCACCCAGTCTCCTAGAGGGCATAGGTGGGGCTGGAAATTCACTCCCTCACCCTCTACAGATGCCTGTGTGAAGTGAGGACTCGAACACACTCCCTGTGGTCTGGGCTCAACCAGCCAAAGGAGCAACGAAAACTCCGGAACCCACTCTATGTCCTCAATCCCTTGGCCATCTGGCCCTCTGTGGAGCCCCAGAGCCTGCGGCTGTGGCAAGGTAACCTCCCCTACCTTCTCCCCTGGGGAGTTTTCCCCTCTGCTCAGCTTTCTTACCTGTCTTCCTCCTCCTCAGGCCTGTTTCTGCGCTGGACGCACCCACCTGAGCCGGCAGAAGTAGCATGGGAGAAGGTGTGGCAAATAGTGACAGGAAGGGAGGAGACAGAAGGCTCGCAGCCAACAGCTTCAGCCTGAGCCCAACCCCAGCACTGGCTCCTTAGACAATGGATGAAATGTTCTTGAAACCTCTCCAGGCCCCTGGGGACCTTTAAATCTTGGACAAGGGTACCTGTAACCCACACTAGCCCATAATACTCAAGTTCCAAGTTTGAAGTGTCCCAAGTATAGGGAGGTCTAAATAATAAAGGTATTCATGATTAGCATCAACCTACTGGGGTGTCAGTAAGAAGGAAAAATCATGAGACAGACCCCACAAAATATCTGACCAGAAACTATTTATTACCAAATCAATTTATTTCTCAGAGTCCTAAACTTTCTCCAGCAGCCTCCCTGGCCCAGATGGAGGTCCAGCTTCTTAAGCCTCAAACTCAAACTCGAAATACTGTGGGTCGAAGTAGTGGATGCGGACGTACCCATCTTCTCCTCCGCTGCTGTAGCTGGAAAAAGACAGCCAGGGACAAGTCAGGTGTCTGCCCTGGGAAAGGCAGGCCTGCGGGACAGGGCGTGAGGAAGGCAGAGACCAGCCCAGTTAGCTCAGCTCACTTCACGGGGGCCCTACCTCTTGCCATCAGGATGGAAGGCCACACTGTTAATAGGGCCAAAGTGACCCTTGACTCTTCCAAACTCTTCTTCAAAGGCCAAGTGGAAGAACCTAGAGGAGAGGGGAGAGCAGGCACATGATTAATTCACTGTGCACACTTTCCGGAACACTCTGGAGGCAGCACTCCTCAAAGGCAAACTATGTTACAAAAAATAAAGCAGGAAAAATATGAACAATATAAGATGAAGTCGGGGAAGACTGGACCCAAACGTCTGCCTGAATATGTAGCTAACACTGAGTGCCTACTATGTGCTGGGCAGTGCTCTAAGAGCTTAACAAATATTAACTCATTTATTTAATCTGCACGATTTTGTAAGTATCTTATCACTGCCCCATTATACAGCAAAGAAAGCATGAGCACAGAGAAATACAATGATATGTGTAGGGCCTCAGCGTTCATGCCCTTAACTGCTATATTACCCACTTGTCACAGGAAGGCCACGAATTTGGCTACACTTCCTTGTAGCCAATATGGTTCATGTTCGTTACGAAAGACACACGGTGAGGTTTCAGTTTGGAAGCGCTCTCTCCCCCTTTACCTGGCCTCAAACTTGCCAATTCTGGTGGAGGTTGTGGTTACATCCATGGCTTCCTGACCACCACCCAGCACCACCTGAAGGGAAAAAGAAACTCTAGACAGACCCAAAGGCAGTCAAGTCCATTTTGTTTTTTCCCCTGCCCTATACATTTTTAGTATCTCCCACATAACAATGGGAGGATGCCAAAGGCAGGGGATGAACAGATACCTCAGCCACCTCCTGGCCAGTTCCCTGGGGCTACCCAATCATTCAGCCTTGTTACTGCTCTGGGAGTCTCTTCTCTGCCTGACACCATTTCCTCGCCTGACACCATTTCCCCCGGAACGTTCGTAGTCTAACTGCCAGAAAAACATCTAGATCCCAGAAGCTTTCTGAGGCTTTAGCAGGGAACCTCGGTGGGGTTCCCTTACATGGTCATAGTTGGGGGAGAGGGCAGCTGAGTTGACGGGACGTTCTGTCCGGAAAGTCTTCTGATGTTCGAGGGTTGTTGAGTCAAAGAGCTGGAGAGAGAAGGCAGGGGAGAAATCCGTAAGCAGAGCCTTCCTGGGGGGAGTCAGGCAGGTTGGATGTGTGCAGCAGGAGGGTGAGAGCATCCCCGCAAGACCCCTTACCCAGGCTCACCTTGGCTGTGTTGTCCTTGGATGCGGTGACAAACATGGTCATGTCCCTGGATAACTGGATGTCATTGATCTGCCGGGAGTGTTCCTTAACATTCACCAATACCTCTCCAGACTGAGGAAGGAGGAAGAGTGAGACTCTGGCTGGCTCCAACCCCTACTAGCCCACTGTTCCCCAGAAACCCAGGCACCCAAATCAGAAATCCGAGACAACCTGGACTTTACCCTCTGCTCACCCCCCTAACTAATGAGCCACCCCTGAACATCTCTTGACTCTGTGTAGTATTCCACATCCCGTGCCTATTGGCTAGTTCAGCTCCATTCTCCAACCACAGCCTGCAAAGCCTTCTCAAGAGAAAATCTGATCATCAATTACCCTTTAAAGACTCCCTCTTGCCTAGAGGAAAATCAAAACTCCTTACCTCCTGACACTTCAGGACCTCTAAAATCCAGTCCCTGTCTACCTTCCCCAAGACCATACTCCAAGGTTCCTATGGAATCCGCGTACTTCCTTAACTCTGCCTTTGCAGCTCCCTTTGCCTGTGCAATGTACTTTCCTTCCTGCTTGAAGCTCCATTTATTTTTCATGGCTTCATGTGCATGCCACCTCCACTGTCACAGAGTGCACCTTCTGCACCTGAGACCTCTATGGTAGCACAATTCACAATATGACTCACAAGCTAGCTGTCTGCAAGTCTGTCTCCCCCTGGGGCAGAGACTATGTCAGATTCATTTCTTTGTCGTAGGAGCCCAGCACAGGGCCTGGCACTCAGTGGTGATCCTTATTAACATTCTGTGTGTACTTTGTGACAAGTTTTTCAAACACCTGATGTCATGTGACTCTTGAAACATTTTACAGATAAATAGGCTCAAGGAAACCAGTTTGCCCAAGATCACACAGCTGGAAAGTGAAATCTTATGTGAATCCAGCCCTTGTTCTTAACCACTGTACTATCCTGCCTCTTGTAAGGAATCATTCAGGTGGGCCCAAGCCCCACCTGGCCCCTTACCTTGGCACTATACTGGTTGAGCTCTCCGCTCTCATGGCCGGCAATGATGCATTCCCCCAGGGGTCCCCAAACGGCACTGGTGATCTTGGAGTCATTGCAAGGAATCTTCATGTACGGCTCATTGCTGTCTGTGTGGGCAGCAAATATCAGGCCCTGGGCTCTAGAGCTGCACCCTTCACCCCAACCCCGGCCCCAGCCCTTACCAATCTGGCTCGGATCCCGCAGGTCAAAGAAGCTTACAAAGCACTGGTAGCCCATCTGCTTGTCCGTGGAGAACATGATGATATTGCCCCCAAAGTCAAAACCGCAGGTCCGGACAGCTGAATTGGTCTTGAGTAGGGCCAGCTGTTTCCCTGGGGACAGGCAGAGTGTGGGCTACCCCTTGCCCATTGCTATCCTGGAGGATACTCTCCACCTGTCTAACATCATGTCTCACTGTTTTTCCTGCTCCAGCAACTCCAACCCACCACTCTGCTCTTCCTCACTGCTACACCTTGGCTCAAGTCTTTTAATTTCTTCCCCATAATCCTTCCTCAGACATCCTGCTAATGTGGCACTGCTTATTATATATATGTCTCCCCCCAGACTGTGCTCCTGCACAGCAAAGACCTGGTCTGATTTCTCTGCATATCCCCAGTGCCCAGCATAGACCCGGCACAGAATTGGATGCCTAGTAAATATTTACCAAACGGAGCAGCTTATAGGTTACCCTGTCTTCAGTCTCAGCTCTTCCAATGTTTCCCACTGTTCCCTGACCTTGCTAAAACTAAACAGACCACCAATCTTCCCTGCTCAAGGACCTCCACAGCATGCCAAGTCCTACAGAACAAAGCCAAGCTCTTGAGTATGGCATTCAAGGCCAGCCTCAACTTTTCCTCTGACCATCTATTTTACTCCCTTACCCCATCCCCCACCCAAGAAGCAAGAACTCCAGCCTGATCAGATGACTTGTACGTGACACTCTCCATGCTTTCATTCCTGCATGTGTCAAAGTGATGGCATCTTTCTCATCCTTCAAGCCCCAGCTCATATGACATTTACCTTGGGAAACCTTCCCAGGCCGTTCCCATCCCCACTCCAGGCAGTCAGTTGCCCACAGTACTCCACGCTTCCTCTCTCATGGCTAACACCTTACTGTAATGCTTCTTTTCTCATTTGCCTTTCTTACTGTCTAGTTTCTTATTCCCTAGACTGGGAACCATTTCTGGATTTATCTCTACTTCCCCGGGACCTGTTTGCTCAAATGGGGACACTGTAGTTCCTCAATATTTGCTGAAAAGTGAATGACCCAGGCTTACCTGTTTCACAGTCCCAGAGACGACAGCTGTTGTCGGCTGAGCCAGTGAGGACATGCTTGGTGTCCCCTGAAGAGATTGTTAAGAAACGTGACTGAGTTCACCTGAGCCCTTGTCCTTCCTCTAGGGAAGCCAACAGAACCATCTCCCTGTTCAGCCTTTCTTCCTCTCTCTTGCCTCAGAGCATTCTAACCTCCTTATCCAGAACTGGAACTTGTCCTGAATGTTTCCCCCACCAGTGAAGAGATGGGGGAGTAGGTATTGTTCTCCAGGCCCATAATAGTAACCCAAACTCCCAACTTTCAACTCAGCCTCTCCATTGGGGCAGACCCTGGAGCATAGACTCAGATCAAGAACAAGGATACAGTCAGCATCCACACACCACACAGCTCCGGTATGGCCCATGTAGGTGCCCAGCCTCTCACCGTTCACAGAGTACCACACATTGACGATCTGGAGGAGTCAAATGACATGATAGTACACATCCTGGTAAGAGCAATGGCCTCCCATTTTGCCCCAGGAATCCTTGGCAACTTCTAGACAGGCCAATTCTGCCCTCTCCTGTTTGTCTCTTGGGAAATGGCAGGGAGCTGGTAAAAAGACCAACTCCTGGATTCTCCTCCCTTCTTGAAGGTAAACAGCAGGGAAGTCATGCGGCTTGCAAAAGCACCCTCACTTGCCACTCCCAGCCCTCCCCAGAACTCCCACTCTCTTATATTAAGAGGTTAAATTGAACTCCAGTCCAGAAAAACAGTAGCTTTGATTTCCTGTCGAAGTAAGGACAGGTGGTGGTAGGGAAGTCTGGCTTCTGGTGCCTGCTCTGCCACTATCTAACTGTATGATCTCAAATACAGTGCCTCTTCCCTCTGAACTTCAGTTGTCCCATCTCGAAAATGGCTGGGACAATAATGCCTTCTTTAAAGGGTAGCTGTAAAGCCAATAAAATGATGTGTAAGGAATTTAAAATATAAGCGACTTAGCCGGGTGCGGTGGCTCATGCCTGTAATCCTAGCACTCTGGGAGGCTGAGGCAGGAGGATCGCTGAGCGCAAGAGTTTGAGGTTGCTGTGAACTAGGCTAATGCCACAGCACTCGCCCTGGGCAACAGAGGGAGACTCTGTCTCAAAAAAAAAAAGCGACTAAAATTAATTAGGCATTCACTTGCACCAGGTACCACGCTAAGATCCTCACATAAATGATCTCATTTAATGCTAAAAACCTCATCTGGGAGGTATTATAAGTACCTATATTTTATAGAAAGAAAAACTTGAAACTCAGAAAGGTTAAATAACTTGCTCAACGTCACATTGCTAATAGATGCAGGAGTGAGGATTCAAATTAGGTGTGTTTGACTTCAGGGCCCCCACTTTTAACCACTAAATTAACTTAATCCGTGTGGGAGTGCCTAAAAAGTCAGTACTGTGAGGGACTATTTGTGCTGCGTAGCAGGATGGTACTGCCTGAAACCCTGTCTAAATGACACAGCTTGCCAGATCAGCTTTCCCTACTAGAGGTGGTCTGTTCTCCCGCCCTGGTAGAGTGATTTAGTTCTTCCCCTGAATGGTCTCGTCTCGGTCCCCTGAGCAAACTGACCCTCATCCCCATCCCCTTTCCACAGTGGTCTCTTGATTTTCTTCTCCCCAACCACTTCCTTTTTCTACCAACAATGAAGTTCTTTCCAACTTTCCCGGTAGAATACTCTCACCGACCTACCCCTGCTGGGTCCCTGCCTACTTCTCAGACAGGGCCGTCTTTTGGTTCCCCCCGGCGACAAAACTAGCTTGTGCACCCAACATCCTGATAGAATGAACTCGACCCTCCCGGGCCCCCTCCGCAAGATCCCGTCTGCCCTCCGGCAAACGCTCACAGGGTCCTTGGCCACGGTGAAGAGGAGGTCTCCCTCGCGGTTATACTTAATCTGGGTAATGGACCGCTCATGGCCCTGCAGCAAGATCGGCTTCTGTAGGGACAGGACGGGAGTGTCAGTGCCCGGAATAGGGCCCCTGCCCCAGTCCAGAACCCTCACCGCAATACCCCCAACTCTGTGGAACTCACCATCCCGGCGGTGACGGCGCTACCAGAGCGGCAACGTGAGTGGGACCGGAAGAGACTAATGGGCCACTTCCGGATTGTGGGTCTCCGCCCCCTCGTTCCCGGAAGTAGAAGGGAGCGGCGTTGCCATGGCGGCGTCTCTTGGTGGGTAGCCAGCCCCGCCCCTCCGTGGATTTCGCGACCCCCGCTGGGAATTCATTTCTTACTCTGCCTCCACCTGCCATCCCTGACCCCAGCTACAACCCCTGGCCCCGGGCTCCGGGATTCATCTCCCGGCCTCCCGGGGCCTGTCCTACCGGCTAAGCGCAGCTGGGGCCTCAGAGAGCGAAGGAGGGAGCTGGGGGCGGCCAGCTGGGGCTAGGAGGCCAGGCGAGGACCAGGTGGGGCCTGGAGGCCAGAGAAGGGCTGGGCAGGGCGGGCGGCCGGCCGTTTGGGATCAGGGGGTCAGGATAACCTGGCATCGTACATCTCATTCAGGGCAGGTGCTGGCTCTGGTGCTGGTGGCCGCTCTGTGGGGTGGCACGCAGCCGCTGCTGAAGCGGGCCTCCGCCGGCCTGCAGCGCGTTCATGAGCCAACCTGGGCCCGGCAGTTGCTGCAGGAAATGAAGACCCTCTTCTTGAATACTGAGGTGCGTCTGTGAAGGCCTCTCTCTTGGGGGAGTATCCCCTAAGAATTTGGTTTCTGGAGTCAAACAGGTCTGGATCAGAATCTGGGCCCAACTACTTACTAGAAACTTTTGTCCTCCTTTAGCCTCAGTTTCATCCCCTATAAAATGGAAATTGTAATGATAACCATCTTATAGGGCAGTTGTGAGAATTAAGTGAGATGAGGCACATGAAGCACTCAGCATTGGGCCCAGTGTGATGGCTTGAGTGGGTAATCCCAGCTACTTGGGAGGCTGAGGCAGGAGGATCACCTAAGTCCAGGAGTTGGAGGCTTCAGTGAGCTATGATCATGTTACTGCACTCTCACCTGGACAACATAGCAAGACCCTGTCTCTAAAAAAGAAAAAAAAACCAGTTAGCATTGGGTCTAGTACTCACATAATAAGTGCTCAGTCTATGGCTGCTATTTATTAATATTTTATCATTGTGATCCCTTCAATCATATATGGCACCTAGTTTTTTTTTTTTAAAGAGACAGGGTCTTGCTTTGTTTCCCATGCTGGAGCACAATGGTGGGATCATAGCTCACTGCAGACTCAAACTCCTGGGCTCAGGCGATCCTCCTGCCTCAGCCTCCCAGGTAGCTGGTACTAGAGGCATGTGCTACCAAGCCCAGCTAATTTTTCCTTGTTTTTTATAGAGATGGAGCCTCACTAGGTTGCCCAGGCTGGTCTTGAACTGCTGGCCTCAAGCGATCCTCCCACCCCGGTCTCCCAAGTCCTGGGATTACAGGTGTGAGCCACGACACCTGGCCAAGGCAACTGTTGTGACCCTTTCCAGAAGGAGAGCTTGAGACTCAAATTGGCCCTGGGTAGGGGGAGGATAAGTAGGGATATGGAAAACTGCTGCCAATCTAGGCTAGTAGGAAAGAAAAGATATGGTCACAGCCACTTCTCAGGGCTAAGGGCTATAAGAGAGGCACAGATAAAGTGCTATTCAGAAGAGGAAGGCTCAAGCTGGGGGACTTGGGGAAGCCTTCTTGGAGGGGGTGACATTGGCATTCAAGGCCTTGCAGGATGGGGAGAATGGGAAGTAGCAGAGCTGAGGGAGGGGGCAGTTAGGTCAAAGACATGGAGTTCGGTCTGTTTCCCTCTTTGCCCTGGAAGGGTCCTTCTCAGAGGGCTTAGTGTTCCCTGGGCCTCTATAACCATCCCTCCCTCCAAGGAAAGCTATATGCTAGAAGCTCAAAGAAGGCAGTGCTGCTCCGTCAAGCCATCACACTGACTGAAGGTTTCTCCTGTTTCTAGTACCTGATGCCCTTTCTCCTCAACCAGTGTGGCTCCCTTCTCTACTACCTCACCTTGGCATCAACAGGTGGGTCTGGCTTGGAACTTCCCTGCTTAGTGGTAGAGGCCACCTGAGAGGGTCATTGTGGGGAGGGAATCTGAAACACCTTGTTCCCATCAGTGAGGGAGAGCTAACTGTCCCTGGTTCTTTCTTGGTCCCCTCTTCTCTGAGCAGTAGGGACACAGTAGGCTGTTATGTTGCCAGGCACTGGGGTTGGTTTAAACCTGGCAGTCTTGTGCAGCAGAGCAAGAAGGAAGGTTTATTTTGCTGCACCAAGTGCTGGCTTTGACACTCTTGCTTCCACTGTGTGCTACCTGCCTAACCTTGAGCAAGGCCCTCAATTGAGTCTTGGTTTTATACCATTGGCTTCATAGCATTGTGAGGATTAAATTCAATGTATGAGAAGCATCTAGCAGAGTGCTTGGCACACAGTCAGAGCTCAATAAATACAGATTTCCTTTCTTTCGACATTTGTTGACTGCCCTCTACTGCATCAGATGTTGTGCTAGTCTTACATATTTTATTTAGTTCTCATATTGACCCCGTGAAGCAGACATGATTATCTTCATTTAGGAGATGAAGTTATGAAACTTTGGGCAACTTATTTCACTTCTTTTAAGTCCCACGGCATGCCAGTGCACAAGGATATAAAGCCACATTAAAGTTTATGCTTTTGAACTTTGCTATGAGAAGTCCTCCTACTGTGGTTTTGCCTCCCCTGGAGTTTTACCCAGACCCCCAGAGGACTTGGGGCCCCAAAAGCTCTGGGGAACCTCTGGGGAACAGAGGCCCTGGGAGGGCAAGGGGATAGGATAGCCTCCAGATGTGCCACCTCAGTTCAACTAGAGTCATTTCGCTTTCATTTGGTTTACATTTTGGGCATCTCATGAGACTTCATTTAATGAGTTTGAAAGCCTCTGGCTTAATGAACTTGCTGTTGTGGAAGAATGCTGAACCCTCAGCCAGCTGACTGCAGCTAGCCATTTACCAAGCTTTGAGCAAATTGCAATTTCAGGATCCTATTATTTCATCACCCTCTCTGCCTCTATCCTTTAATATCCATCCTGTCAGGCTGGGTGAGGTGGCTCATGCCTGTAATCCCAGCACTTTGGGAGGCCAAGGCAGGAGGATCACTTGAGGCTAGGAGTTTGAGGCCAGCTTGGACAAAATAGCAAGACCCCATCTATTAAAAAAAAAATACACAAAACCATCCTTTTTAATAATTATAACAAAAATCACTATTCATTAAGCATCTCCTTCAGCCAGGGACTATACATGCATTATCATAGTTCATCTTACAACAATGCTACAAAGGAGATGGTATAGTGCAATCACTGTTTTACATGTGGGGAAACAGGCTCAGAGTGTTTGAATGAGCTAACCAAGATTACAAAGGGAAACCTAGGTCAGCCTCACTCCCATTGCGCCATGCTGCTTCCTTCCCCCTTCTGCTGTTGAAACCAGACCTTAGCAGCCATGTAGGTATGTAAACTTAAGAAAGCAGCTCTGGGTAGGTTGGAGTGTTGTATTTCTTGGATGGGTAATGCCAGCCATGCTAGGGCCTCAGGAGGAATGAGGAGCAGGACAGTCCCCCCTCTTCTACCTCAAGCAGGTGAGGCCTGGGAATGCTGGGAAAGAATGTGCCGAGGAGCCAACGCGAGCATCTGGGTCTGCCTGGCAGTTAGGAGTCTCATTATAAACAAGTCGCTCAGCTTCTGATTTATCCATTAGTGTGTGTGGTTCTTTTTTCTTTCTTTTTTTTTTTTTTTAGTGTGATAAGAACACTTAACATAAAATCTACCCTCATAACACATTTTAAGCGTACAATATAGTGTTGCTAACTCCATTAGTCTTTTTCAAGTTTGCTTATTGGAAGTCAGTCCCTTGGAGGAACAAATCCTGGGCTATGGTGACTTCTACCAGAGGCCCAGCCCAATGTCCTGAACAGGTATCTGTTCTCCTCCTTCTGACATTTTTTTCCTCTTTTCTTTAACTCTAAAAAGGCTGAGCATGAGCTGAACCAAAAACTAAATGTGCTTCACCTCATGTTTGTCCACATCTATTTAGTTCAATAAGGACACAGGCTTTGGAGTCAGGTAGACCTTGGTTTGTTTTTTGGTATTTTTTTAAGACAGGGTGTCACTATTTTGCTCAGGCTAGTCTCAAACAACTGGCCTCAAGCTGTCCTCCCACCCCAGCCACCCAAGCAGCTGGGACTACAGGCACACTCCACCACGCCAGGCTCCAGACCTTGGTTTAAATCCTCAATTTGCCTCAATTTATGTGACTTCTTTGAGCCTTTGTTTCCTTTATTTATGCAAAATGGTGATAATACTCTCCTTACAGTGTTGTTGTGAAAATTAAATGAGAAATGTACACAGAGCACCTAGCACTTTGTGCTTAATAAATGGTGGCCATGCTTGGCATTATTGGACTCATTCCACTGCATCCTTTGGGCTTTGGGTTCCTGCCTGTCTGTCAGTCCAGATGTCCTTGAGACTCAAGAGTTCTTTTTGAGTGCAAAGACATTCTCACTGCCAAACCAGGCTGGTCCCAGACCTGGGTTCCGAGTTCAGGTCTTCATGCTAGAATCCTGAGGAAGCACTGGAGTCAGGACACCTGGGTTTGAGTCCTGAGACTTGCTATGACTTCATCTGAAAAATGGGGTCTTGATACCTTTTTTAAAGGTATGAAATGAAGATGATGATGAAATGAAAGTGTTTTGTGCCTAGGAAGGCTTTTTATCTCAGGGATTCTTCTCATTGTAACCACCCAGATCTGACCTTAGCTGTGCCCATCTGTAACTCTCTGGCCATTGTCTTCACGCTGATTGTTGGGAAGGTCCTTGGAGAAGATATTGGTGGAAAACGTAAGTCAGGCTACTGTGAGTGTGGGCTGCAGCTACTTGGGCCTTGACATACCTGGGTTAGTTCTTTCCCGAGCCCATCTCCTGGGGCGGGGTGAGGAGAGAGGGCCTTCTCCCATCCTGCCTCTTTCCTCTGCAGCTCTCCTGCTTCCTTGTAGCCATCAGAGTTTCCTTCCCTGGGCAGTCTGGGGACAGAGGCTGGGCAGAAATTGGGACGAGACCCCATCTGAGCCCTTCCCCCAGCTCTGTACCAGCTCTGGCATGGCTGGGCTCAGGGCCTCTTGATTTCTGCCCATTATCCCAGGAGCAGTCGCTGGCATGGTGCTCACCGTAACAGGAATTACACTCTGCATCACAAGCTCAGTGAGCAAGACCCAGGGGCAACCGTCTACCCTTTGAGTAGACCGACCCCTGCCTCCAGCTCTGCCATCTCCAGGAAGCCCCTGGGCCGTGGGTGCAGGCAGTGAGCAGATGGACCTAGCACTTCCCTCTCTGAGCCTCAGCGTCCTCATCTCTTATGGGGATAATAGCTACCTCATGGATCACAATAAGAGAATAAGAGTGAAAAGTTTTTGTAACCTTCAAGTGGTGTTCAGCTGCTGGGATTGAACACAGGAGACTTTACGCTCACCCTCAGCAACCTTCACGCCCAGCAGCTCTCTTCCTGTTGTCGTCTCAGGCACCAGCCCAGCCACCATGACTATGGCCTGATCTGGACTATGAGGGTGGCGGGTTCAATGGGCTGCATGGAAGGGCCAGCTGCAGGCTCTGAGCCGGAAATGCAAATAGCAGGCCTGGGGACTCGATTACAGGGCCACAGCTGGCTGAGGGGTGGGATTGAGGGGAAGAAGGCGCATCAGTGGCAAACGTAGGAGAGGAGCTTTCTGTCCACCCTGCCTGTCCCATCTGCCAGGTGGGTAGAAATCCTCACTGCCAGCCCCTCTTAAACAAGTGGACAACTCAGCCCCAGCACCGCCTCACTCCAGCACCCAGTGCAACACCTGGCAAGTGGCAGCCTTCAATAAATCTATAGTAAACAGACAGGTTAGTAAGTGTTTTTTTATTGTGTCAAACCTGCTCCCATGCCCCTGCTCTGCTCAGGAAGGAAAGGAAGACTGGGCTATGGGTTTAGGAGAAGAATGTACCCTGTGAGCCCAGGGGAGGCGCTGGCTCCTCAGGGACAGGCTGCTGGAAGCCGAGGACAAAAGGTAGCTAGAGCTACCAGGTCCCCAGTTCCTGTCCGGAGCTGCTGGCTCTCAAGATGGCAGAAAAGGGGCTGAGGCTGAGATTGTAGCTCCAGCCCCAGGCTGGTTTTCCAGGGACAGGGCCTCTTCCACTGTCTCTGCTACCGTCTAGAGGAGGTGGGAAGCCATACAGAATGGAGCCATGAATGTGTCCAGCTTCCAGCCCTCAACCACGAGACCGCTGACCCCAGGAAAGGAAGAGACTTGAGAAATTGGGAATTGCTTCCTCATTTACCAAGGTAGGAAGTCGGGCTCTGAGACATTAGGAGATCTGTGTACAGTTGCAAGGGGGAAGAACTGTTCCTGGGGACCAGGGCTGCCAGTTTCCGGCTGGGAAATCCTCCCAACCCAAATATTGCTTCCTGATCCAATGGCTTACCTGATCCAAGGGCTCCTCTGTCTGGGTATCTTCATCATCTGCTACTTCCTGGGCCCCTGCTGTCTCCCACCTTGTGTGGGGAGCCCCGTACACTCCCTTAATTCCTAATGGGGGAGGCAGCATTGGCTGATGCCCAGCCTGAGGGGCCCTCAGCCTTCTTTCCCTTGACCTTCTCTACCAGCCCCTTCCCCTCCCCGGCCTTATTCCAAACTCCCTACTGTCTCCAGGATAGTTGAGAGGCGGGGCCTTTGGCCCCAGGCCCAGCCCTTCCAAGTCCTACCCCTGAAGTCTCAGCACTTTGAGATAAGCATGCTCTTTCCATGTGCTTCTTTTCTTACGACAGACCTCGTGAAGAAGCAAGGGACTGGATATGCAGATGGGGAGCAGGAGACAGCTGTGCTGAGGTCATGGCCAGCTCTTTGCCTGGGCATTCAGCCCCCACAGACATCCCCAATAACAGCAGGGACCATCCCTTGTCACTGTCAAAGGGTGGCTGAGAAGGGCCTGGGCCCCAGGGGCCCCTCACCTGATGGGAATGAGAGAGTGCGGAGCGCGCTTCTTGGCTGCATGTCCTGGTGGGGTCTGGCATAGAAAGCAGATGGCTCACTGTGGCTTGGTTCCTTTGGAGAGGGCTGGGTTGCCTGGGCCCTGTGGCCATGGGCCTATAGAAGGGACACTGGTTGGACCCTGGTTGCTGGCTGTTCTTACCTTTCCCCTTGCACAGTTCAGGCTTCAGAATGCCCCTGATGCCTGTGGGAGCTGGGAGAGGAGATGCCGTCCATCTTCCCAGCCTGCATCCTCCCTCCCTGCTACCTCTTCCCACCAGGCTGCCTCATCCAGGGACAGAGCAGCTGGAACCTGGCATCGTAGCCGCCCAGTGAAACTAGACTGTGTGCCCTCTGCCCCCATGCACACTGGCTCATCTCTTGGACAGGCATAGGCCTGAAATAAGTTCCCCTGGCCCCTGCTCTGCCACATATGCTAGTTCTCTCTCCCAGCATCCAACCGAGCAAGACAGCATTAAGTCCTACAAATCAGAGTCTTGAAGATCAGCGTTCTGGTCTGGCCCTGCCACTCAGTAACTGTGTCACCCTGAACAAATCACTTCACTCCTTTGAGCTTCGGTTTCCACCTCTGGACAATGGGGATAATCTTTCACAAGATTATTAAGAGGATGCAGTGAAATAAGGTCAGAGCCTGAGCTGGAAAAGTTGTCAGCCAGTCACTCCCCTTCCTTCCACCCCACGGTCCCCTGCATCACCTACCCCCTGCCTGTGGGGCCTGGATGTCGGGCCTGGAGGATGCCTACAATGACAGAAGGAGAGGCTGGCAGTGGGCACAGGAGGGCATGGAGTCAAAGCACACAGCCCCAGAGGGTGGCTTCTGCTGCTCCCACCTGTTGGCCCTCTGCCTCCCACATACGTACCAGCAGCCCCGGGGCAGGGAGGGGCTGGGCACCAGCAGCTCCAGATAGGGGAGGGCCTTGAACTTATCCTCTCCGACAGCCACATAGTAATGGCCACTCACCAGAGCCTCCCCTGCTGACACCGTGAGCCCCTCCAGGGTGCAGAGTCTGGGAGAGAGAGGTGAGCAGGGTCAGGGCCTGTGGACAAGGTGCCTCTTCATGCTCAGCGGACTGTGAAGTGGTGGGTATGGTTATTCCAAAGTACCCTCTTTCCTCTGACCCTCCGGGCACCAGTCACCCAGGCTCTGCCCTGCCTCCTAGGGCTGGGCTGGAGGGGCCTCTCCCTGTGGCAAAGGAGGAAGTCCCACTTGCGGGAACATGCCTTCCTTTTGCCTCAGGAACAGCCAAAACCAGTGGGGAGACCCTCTGTGGGGACTTTTGGGCCTCCCCAGTCCGTACTCACTTGCACACAGCCCCACTCGGCAACTTGGCCTTCTCAGTCAGGAGCTTCAATACGGTTTCCCAGTCCTGGCTGGCAGGCCGGGACAGCTTCAGACTAAATGGGGGACTTACCAGGTCCCCATTCCTGAACACGCTGAGACAAAAGAGCAGCCTGGTAAGGGGGAGGGTCCCCAGGACTCCCTACATGTGAGAGGAAGAAGGGTGGCACAGGGCCAGCAGTTGGTCTGAGAACCATTGCACTGGTCTGTTTTCAGCCATCAAGCATGTTGGACTTTTTATATCCACACCAGTAACCAGGGGCTTCTGGAACAAACCCACCATTTTCTTCGTCTTACTGAAACAAAAATCTATACCCCTGCTCCCGACATTGACACTCACTGGATACAGCAGGGGGCGCCTGCAGGCAGCCCACGTTCAAGGGCCCCATCACACAGGCAGCGAGTCACGGGAAGACCCTGAAACCCAAGTCAGGCACCCAAATCAGGAGAGAGTTGAGGCCTTTGGTTAGGGGTGGGTCAGTCCAGGGTGTGTGGGGTGAGGGGGCAGGAGGGATGAGACTGGTCACACCTTTCACCAAAGGGTGCTTCTACACTCCCTGAGTCACATCCCCTGCTCCCATCTGTGTTTCACAGCTTGCTCTCTCCTTTGGGGACCACAGTATGGAGATAAAGTGATAGGCTGCTGCAGGAGCAAGGGAGTGTCTTGAAATCCTGCACCCAGGAAGGATAGGGGCTGGCTTCAGAGTGGGTGTGGAGAGTGCCCCCCACAGAACTGGCAGATCCTGCTGCTTCCAGGGCCCCTCACTTCCCAGACCAAATCGGGGGCAAACCCAGGGAGGTGGGAAGATAGAGGGGCTGGGGGACAGCCTCCCCCAGGACTCACTTGCAGTCTGCTGCTCTTCCCACCTGGATCCTTCCCTCCAGGGGGCAAATAGCTGTAAGGACAGATAGGTCACAGGTCATCTTGGGGAGCCTGAGGCCTCAGCAGCTGGTAGTTGCCAGAGTGTGGGGCTGGGGCGCAGCTCAACAGGTATCCCTCCCCATTGGAATAGTCTGTCATCTCGGTCCAGAAACAGATAGTGGCACTGGAACCTGCCTTAGGATCCCTCAAGTGCTGGGTCAGTCTGGAAATCCAGACTGGGGTCTTAAATCATAAGATTAAAGGTCAAGAGAAACTAGTGGTCTTCTCTCCTCTTTGTATGAGACTCTGAGAAGTTGAGTGACTTGCCCAAGGTCGCACAGGAAGTGGCCCTGCTAAGATCCTAAAGCTATCTAGCCCCAGCCCCTTGCTCCTTACATTACAGTAGGCAGCCTCAGCTGAAAGCTAAGAGTAGGCCTTGGAAGCCAGATCTGAGTTGGAGGCTCAGACTCTCACCTTGGAAGACAGCCCCACCCTGCAATGGGGCACGGGCCTAGCCTAACGGGAGAGTTTGGGATGCCTGAGCATAGCAGGGAGGAAGTGATGGGTGGATTTAGAGTGTTTGGTGAGGCTGGCAGGTGGGGGATCCAATCGAGAAGAGCTTTTGGAAAAAGGGGCTCAACCTGGAGGAGAGTGGTCTCCCTCCCACAGGCTGGTCTTGGCTGTGCCGGCCATAAACATCAGCACCGGAGAGAATTCGATTTGAATTGCAACTCAACTATTTGTTTTGTACTCTTAGGCAGGTTTTCAGTCTGTTTTCCCCTTCTAACTACTGGAGGTAAACCACCCCGTTCATAGGGTTAAGCAAGAAAATGTATAAAGTGCCTGGTGCGCACACAGTACTGAATGCACACCGTTGCTGTTGCTGTCACCGCCCTCCCCAGGCCCTTTGGCCAGTCCCAGCCCACTCACTGCAGCTTGTGGAATGGTTCAAACCCAGCAGCCACATACTGCCCTCCGTTCTGCAAGTCTGCCAGGTCGGTGACAGGGTGGCCATGACAAGGTGTGTAGAGAGCACGCACAGCCAGTGGGGCCTGCACAGCTGAAGTCACCTCGCAGAGGAAGGCTTCCATGGTGGGGAAGCGGCGTTGAGTCACCACCAGCCGGGAGCCTGGGAAGAAGGGGTCCCCATTCCGGTACACCACTACCCTCTTGGCCCTTGGAACCGCCATGGTGTGTCCTCAGTCAGAGACGCAGAGGTGTTGCCAGGCAACCAAGGCAGGGCTGGGAGCGGTGCCAATCAGAAGTGGAGTCCTGTGCCCTCTCACCCAGGACGGCAGGGGGAGTCTCTGGCAAGAGCATTTATATTTTATCTGTAGTCAAGGTCTCATCCAATCTGTCCTGGATGGAGCTTCTCAAGGGTAGGCTAGGTATGATCATTATATGAAAAAAGAGCAGGCCAGGCATGGTGGCTTACTCCTGCAATCCTAGCACTCTGGTGGAGGCCAAGGTGGGAGGATCCCTTGAGACAAGGAGTTCAAGACCAGCCTGAGCAAAAGCAAGATCTTGTCTGTACCAAAAAAGAATAGAAAAAATTAGCTGGGTGTGGTGGTGTGCCCTGTAGTCCCAGTTATTCAGGAGGCTGAGGCAGGAGGATCACTTGAACCCAGGAGTTTGAGGTTGCAGTGAGCTGTGATGATGCCACTGCACTTTAGCTGGGGTGACAGAGTGAGACTCTGTTTCAAAAAAAAAAAAACCCTAAAAGACCCTAGGGCTCAGTGAGAAAAGGAGTGGTGGAAATCACACTTAAACCCGGATGTTTCAAAATACTTTCCAGAGCCTCCTTGCCACTCTGAAGCCCAAGGGCGGAGCTCGAAGGGAGTCAGCTTTGGGGGCTGTTCCCCAAGAAGCATGGCTAGATCTAGATCTGCTCCTGGGCCATGGCTCCCAGCTGGCTCTGGGTCAATGCCCCATGCCAAGAGGAAGAGAACAGGAGGGCCCAGAGTTTGTCCTAGCCACAGGCAAAAGAAGAAAGCAGTCAGGATCAGAATCCAAGAAAAAAACCCTTTATTCTTCTCCATCAAGCCTCCCAGTCCATTTTCCCCAGATAACTCCTATTTTTTTTCCAGCAAATGTTTCCTGATAAAACCTTATCAGGCAAAACCTGATAATTCCTTATCCAGAAATTTGGATTGAGCCACAGGCAGAGGATGAAACGGTGTTCTTCGTCCTTCTCCCTGCATTTATGCCAGCTCTCTGCTCCAGCTTCTCTTGGCACCACTAGCCACCAAAGGCCAGGGCAGGAGCAGGAGGCAGAGCTGGTACCAGGGAGAGAGGATGAGGTCCTGTCTTCATGGCCCTTCCACAGCAAACCCCTTTGGAACCTGGTCCTTTCCTGGCTCCCCAGCGTCTCGCCAGGTGGTCCTGTTTGCCATGACATGCCCCTCTACTGGTTCTCTCCTGTATGGTTTGACCCTGTGGAAGACAGATTCTCAGGTGGCCTTGATCTCCATGGTGGTCCTCTGGTTTTTCCATCCTTTGTGATTAGGCTCATTAGAGGTTCCACCTCTGGAGCGTCTGTCGTGGGGGTTCTGGCCTTTGGGTGATTTAGTCCTCCAGAGATCCAGGCCTCTATGCTCTGGCTCTGCCAAGGTCCCATCCCAACTGATGTGGTCTTCTGAGATGCCCAACTCTTGTGGCCTGGCTCTTTGGTAGTCAGGCTCTTTGTGGTCTAGGTCTCTGGGAGACTCCTCCTCAATATCTGGGTCATCAGAGAGTGTAGGCAGTTGTGTCCTGGCCTTCCTGGAACAGTGGTCCCTAGACTTGACGCATCCAGGGGTCTGGTCCTCCAGGAGTTTTGTCTGCTGCAGGTAGGTCCATCCAGAGGTCTGTCCTCCATCATCTGGCCCTTTGGTGAGCCTGTCCCCTAGAGCCTGGCTGTTTGATAGTACGGGCAACAGTGGTCCAGCTCTCTTGGTGCATGGTTCCCTACACTTAGCTCCAGCAGTTTTTTGTGTAGTAGCCAGACTTTCTGAAGATTTCTGGGGTGATCTGACCCTCTGGCAGGAGTCATTTGCATGGTCTAGCTCTCCAGAGCTCCTGTCTCTATAGGACTGGTCCTTCAGTGGTGGGCTTGCTTGTGACCGGTCCCTGGCACAGGCCTGTCCTCCATGGTCTGGGCACAAGCTAGGCTCGTCTCTGGTCTGGCCTGCCTCTGGGGAACTCAGTGTTTGTTTGAGAATTAGGTACTGTTTGGGGAGAGAACAGACACTGTACCAGGCAGGCCTGGTTGGGCATGGCAGGAGGTCTCTCCCTAACCCCCACCCTTGGCCCTACATGTTCAGAGGGCCCTACATGTTCCAAGTTGGTGCCTACCTCCTTACGGCTATTGATGGCCTGTTGCAGCCACAGGAGTTCCATGGCCAAGTGGCTGCGGTGGTATTGGAGCTCCTGAAGCTCAGGCTGGCAGTGGAGCGGTCCTGGACCTGTGGTTTCTGTGAAGGAGGGAAGAAAGGAGGGAGAGAGCCTTAAGGGGTAGACCCTGGGAAGCAGTCTAACTTTAGACCCTGGCAGCCCCCCACTGCCCAACCATGTGGTGCCCGCAACCAGACAGAGGGAAGATGGAGAGGGACGAAGCTTATCGAGTGCAAACCTTTCACTTTTCAGATGGGGAGGCTGAGGCCCAGAGAGGGTCAAGGGCTTGCCCGAATCTTGGCAAAGAGGTACCTGGGTTCTCTGTCCTTGTTGTGTCTTGGGGTTCCTCCTGGCTGGCTTTCCTGCTCTGTTCAGCCTGAAGCCAGGGGTTGTCATCTCTGCAGAGATCACTTCCTGGGTTTGCTGAGCGCTCTCCCGACTTCTTCAGCACCATCTCCTCCCAGATGGCCTCTCTCTCAGCTTCTTTACATGGGATGCGGCTCCCAGGTTCTTGCTCTGGATTTGCTACCCTCTCTCCTGCTTTCCAGGTCTGATGGGATTTTGCCTTCTGAGAAATCAGAGGTGTGAGAGCCTCAGGACTAAACCCTTCCAAATGTCTGGGCACCATGATCTAGCAGACAGGTTGGTGAGGATTGAGGACTGAGATGTGAGGAGGTGAGTTTGTTGCCTCTTCCAGGGAGAAAAAGCCTGTGGCAGGACCCTGCCCGAGTCCCTCCTTCCCTTCCCTTTTCCCCCTGGGTCTGTACTACCTCTGGGAGAAATCGGGGCCTGGGAATCCATCCCTCAGTCCACTGAATCGTGCCCAGGTCGCCTTCAATCTCTCGCACAATCGCCTCATACTCAGCTCGAAGGCTCTGGAACTGACGTCGGACCAAGAAGCCCCGGACACAGGCCTGGTGTGGAGAACGAGGGGAAAGCAGTTTCTTATCACTGTAAGGGAGGGGGGATTCTCTTGGGGAGGTCATCCTGGTGACTGCAAGAGGGGACGCCACCACGGGGAAAAGACAGGTGACGCTGTGCGCTAGGGCTCCAGGGGTTCAAGGGAGGATGCTACTCTGGATCCCCCTCCTGGCTTTACGGCCCTTCCAGCTATTTCCCTGACCCCGCGCGAGCGTGTGGTGGGAGTGGGGGGGGCATGGGCGGGAGCCCGTGGTCCCAGCATTCTGCAGCGCGGCGAGGGAGCACCGTATCTCCCGAGGTTGGCACGCGGGTGAGGGACTGAACATGATCACTTCATCTTGCTGAAGGTCCCTGTAGAGATCCCCTGAATCCCGTGCACCTCCCGCCCGCCCCCACCTGCAGCGCCGACACCTTCCGAAATAACAGCTCCGGCTCCATCCGGTCCCCAACCGCCCCGCAGGCCCGCGGCGCGCCTGCGCACTGCGTCATTGGCCGGCGCCGCTCGTGAGCATGCGCAGGTGCAGGGCCACGCCCCGCTGTCTCCACCGCATCCTTCCTCTCGCCAGGGTTACAAGCGTCCCCGCGACAGGCCCAGCCGCGTCGCCCCAGCCCCCACTCCCACTCCCAGAGCCGCAAGGGGCGGTCCAGTCCGGCAGTCCCCAAACCGGAAGTGCGCGGCGCAGGGCCGTCTCCGCGCAGGCCCGGGGCCGTCGGCGCCGCCACCGAGGAAGAGCGCAGGGAGGGAGGGAGGACACACAGCCGCTTTCTTGCTTTCTGGTTTAATTCCATCCAGTGCCCCCCTCCACCATAGCACCTGGGGGGCCGCGGAATACCCTCCCGAGTCCGTAAAAAGTCACAGTTTGAAAGGAATGAGAGGGGCAGCCTGGGCCTGGGTCCGACACCTATGCAGTCGACTGCTCCTCAGGCTCGGCGTTCTCCGCCAGGTGCAGCTTCTGTCTGAGCCAGTCAAGGATTGCGACGCTTTGGACCCAGTCCTTCCTCCCGCTCCTGTCCTCCCATCCCGCACAGGCTTAATGTCCCCAGCTGTGCATAGGGACAGGGCAAAGGTCTCCGAGGCCATCCGTGGTCTGAGGTTGCAGTCCCCACCTGCCCTCCTTGCCAGGTTACTCAACCCCTCTCTCTTCATCAGCTCATGCAAGTCCAAGGAGCTGGTGGGCACCTGAGCCAGACTGTGGGGTGTGTTTTGGGGTGGGGTGGGGGCGCTCGCCCGCGCTTGTTTCTAACTGAGGACTAGATGGCATGGTAGTCTAAATTAGTAAAAATAATTGTTCAGTGCTAAAAGGGTAGGGAGACAAGCTTTGCCATGGATTGGTGTTAGCTGAAGTACTTACAAAGATTTTGATTAGTAGGTAAAACGTATTCTCAGCAACCACTTTTCTCCTCATAGTTGGGAAATTCTTTCTACATTTCTCTACCTGGGTGGGGGCAGTTTGTGGCTAATTCCAATGCAGTAGGACTGCAAAATTTAGGGATGTTGGTTATGTGTGAATTCTCCTGGAGGGTTTTGAGGAGGAGGAAACTGACCTCATCTCTGGGAGACACAGGCACACACATTGTCAGGTCCCTTGGGAAGGATACATAGAATTACTAAGATCTTCCAGCTGTCAACAAAGAGACAAAGGGAGGTTTCTGTCAAGATGAGCAGCAGACCAAACCCCTGATGCTCCGGGGGCCATCTTCTAGGGGAAGTTGAAGGACCCAGAGCTCTTGGATCCATGCACCCCCAACTTTTCACCCAGGGCCCAGGAATAGCTTTGGGAGCATGTACCTCCCCCCACCCCTGGTGCCCCCAGGAACCAAAGCCCCCAGCCACGACCCACATTGCTAAGCAGCTGGTCCAGGTTGCGGTCAGCCATGGTCTTCTTCTGCTCTTCAGGCAGCCCCTCGGTGACCCCGTCCTCTTCCTCTTCATCATCATCCTCCTCCCCACATACGTCCAGGCTGAAGTGCAGCCGGGCCAGCTTCTCCTGCATCTCGCGCACGTGCTCCAACTGCTCGAAGGAGCATTCCTTCCCTGGACAGCCCCTGTCTGAGCGCTGGGAGCGAGCCTGGGACCCTGGCCCCAGCCATGCCCCAGAGACCAGGCCCTCCAGCCCCACCCACAGGCCCTCTGGGCGCAGGCCCCAGGACTCACCGAAGGCCTGCAGCCGGCCTGAGTGAAAATCATTGAGCAGGTTCAGTAGTCCCCCCTCCATCTCATAGACGTCGGTCACCTCGGTCAGGAAGGAGTGCTGCAGGGGTGTGCCTGCAGAGCCGCCCGCACCTCCAGCCAGCACTGGGCGGCACTTCTCTTTGCCTACTCTGGGTGAGGTGGACATGACCATGGTCACAGGGTCGGGGGGCAGCCAGGCACCATCAGATCTTTTGTACCCTCTGCCTCTGCATTAATTCATCTGCCCATCCACTCACTAACATAAATGGATGTTTGTACTTCTAGCCCTGTCCTGGGCACCAGATTGGTAGAGGGAAGGGAGGGAGAGAGGAAGGGTGAAGGTAAGAGGTCAACAAGAAGTCTGTTTCCACTTCTAACACAGCCAGAACCATGCCTGGAAGGGAACTCCTGGGTTCTTGTCTGAGTGCCTCATTTATTCCCTCCTGTGACCCCCAGTGAGTCACTTGTCCTCCCTGGTCTTTAGTGAATTCAGGGACAGTTACTCCTTTATTGCCACCAGAGCTGTCTTACCTCTCCCAAAAATATCTTTCTGCCCCTCTTCTATTTAAAGACTGTTTCGAGTGTTCCATCGCCCCCAGGATAACACTGATGCCCTTGCCATCTTGGGCCTCTTGCCTCTCCAGCTGCAGCTCCTACTACTCTCACCCCAACCCTGAGCTTCAGCCACACCCCATGGTGGCTGTCCCCAAGCATGCCTTTCAGGCAGGTGGTGTGCAAAGCCACAGGGAAACACAGTGGTTTTATTTGGAAGGATTGAGAAAAACACATTGTATTTTAGTGGGAACAAACATGGACACATACATTACAGAGTAGAACACAAATTCCCAATCATTAAAACAAATGCAACAGAGAATTTGCACCCAAGTATTCTCTCACCATTTCCTGTCCCCTGACACTCCAGGGCCCACAACCACCCACCACCCGTAGTTCCCAAAACCTTTCAGGTAATATCTTTCTTCCACATTTATGCCAGGCAAGCCTCTCAGCCTAGAACATTCCCTCTCCAGTGTGTCCAACAGCCTTCTCTGACCCTCACTTTCTGGCAGGGTTGCTCGCTCCCTCCTCTGAGGTGCAGCCTCACACTATGTGATCCCACTGACCCATCTGACTTTTTTGCCACACACTTGATAGTAGAGGCTGGGTGTGAGTCATCTCTGAGTTCTCAGGGGTCAGCTGGGGCCAGCCCCAGGGAAGGCATCAGTGATTGCTTAGTAACAAAAGGCAGAAGGCCCCCCTTGTCTCCCTCCCCATGGTTCTCAGCCCCAGTCGGGGTCCCTCCCTCCTTACCCTACTTTCCTTCTGTACCCACCTCTTGAACTTAGCCCGCTGCTTGGGGGATGGCAGATGAGGGAGTCCCAGGGCCAAGGAGCCACTGTGGCTGGTGGGCACAGGGACCCTGCGTAGTGTGCCTGGGGCCTGGGCTGGCTGGGTGAGACAAGGCTTGGGACTCCGTTTCTTCTTCTTGTCATCCATGGGTGCTGGCTGGGCCTCTGGCCTGGGAGGGAAGCAACCCCACGGACATACTGAGGGGCAAAGTTATCACTTCACCCAGCAGCCCCTGAGAGCTGCAAAGGAAGGACCCTGGGACCTTCTAACTTGTCCCCTTACACTGTCAGGGCCTCTGTCCCCTCATCTGTACAGTAGGGGCAGGGCCAGATGCCAGTGCCTGCTGCTGGGATCATGAATACAGTCGAAGGACCTTTCAAGGCCCACCCTAAGTCCCCTTCTGCCTGAAAACATAGGCCCTGCCTGAAAGGGCTGGACCGGACTTGATTATCCTGGTGCTGCTGGGGCTTCCGGTCCCTGTGGCAGGGGGCGGGGGAGGGGTTTGGCAGGGCTGGCAGAGGAAACATGGGGGACACTGGGTGGATGTGAGCTGGCAGGAGCCCTGCTGAGGATTAGGGGTGTCTTAACTAAGCCGCATTGTATTTATCAACTGCCTAGGCAGATGCTGACAAACACTGTCAGCATAGGAGGCGACTGAGGTGCAGGTGGGGGCGCCTGGGAAGGCCCCAGTGTCAAGCAGTAGCCACCAGGGCGGGCAACTGCAGGAGAAGCCTTGGCACACGGGGCAGGTTCATTGTGGTTTCCCCTAGTTAGACACTGGCATCCCTCCCCTTCCGCCCAGCCCCCATGGCAAACACCAGGGACTCCCAGAAGATCCTCCGGGGTGCTTCCAGCTGCTTCACTTTTCCCAGGCAGAAAGTCCCTGCTGGGCTTCAGCTGCAGCCAGGGCGGGGTGGGTGGTCGGCAGCGGCGGCCTGAGCCTCCAACAATGTCTGCGCCTGTGGCTGGCTCGGCTCAGCCGCCTCTGGTCCAGCCCTGCCCCCAAGCCTCAGTTCTGCTGGGGTCCTCCCCTCTGGGGTCTCACTCCAGGCTCCCACCGCCAAGTCTAAGCGCGCACTCGGGTTTGGTGGTGGGGCGTAAGCACTTACACTGGCACACAGCCGGCTGAACCGAACGGGTCTGGGCTGCGTGCAGAGGAGAGAGGAGAGCATCCTCTGCCTGTCCCTGCAGCAGCCTGACCCAGTTAGCGACCTGCTAGAAGAACTGGAGCGGGAGCCCCTGCTCCCCGGGACCGGCCGGGATCTATTTCCCACGCTCAGTCTCCAAAGCCATGTGCCAAATGGATCTCCCAGCTCTGGAGCCAGCTCCGAGCTGCGGCGTCAGACCCGCGTCACTCCGCCCCCTCCCTTACGCCCGCAGGGGACACTGACCTGGAGCTTTGGGGTCTCGAGTGAAGCCTCGATGCAAGGGCCCTCCGCCCTCCGCTCTCTCCTCCAGGGAACTCCACCGAGTGGAAGCGGAGCTGGCGGGAGGTAATTTGCATTTAAAGAGAAAGTGACCCTCTCCGGAGCTGGGGACGGAGTTAGAGGGGAGGGGCGTCCCCGCGTTTACCAAGCCATTCTCTCCTCATCTCGCCTCCCCGCCTGTTAGTTAGGTGATGTCCATTTAAAAGAGATTTTCCCGTCAGTTTTAGAAGCTAAAATCCCTTACAAAATGGTGGTGGCTTTGTCAGGAGGGGTAGTGAGGAGAGAGAGAGAGAGAATATGAATGCAAGTATATAAGCAGCACAAGCAGCAGCAGGAAGAAACTGCAAAGACAACCATCTATTGAGTGAGTCCAGGTCCCTTATTAAGCACTTTATGTACATTTAATCCTCTTACTGCCCCTGAAGGAAGGTATCGTCATTGTCATAGTCCCCGTTTTACTGAATGAAAGTAAGTAAGAGTCATTTGAGGCCACTTTCTCAACACCCAGACGCTCCTGGTTGGTA